GCCACGCGGGGCAGCTACGGCTCCTGCTGCCCTGCCTGGCAGGCGGTTGCAGGCCTTGGCAATTCTCTCAGTTTTGCTCTGGGGGAAAAGAGCTTCTGCACTAAGGAAAACTGAGTTACATTTTATAGAGCTAGAGCAAAGTTGCTTCCTTACCCGTGTGGTTACGGTTGGCAATGAGGTTGCAAACAAAAATGACACTTGATTTAGAAAACACAAATTTCAAAATATGATGAGACATTGGGTGTCATCTGCTGGCCTGGGGTTTGCAAAAGAGAAAAGAGATGGATGTTCTTGTTAAGCATGTCTGCACTTGAGGTCTGTTACATGGTTGCTTACAACTTGCAGGGGAGTAAGTAACCCAAAAGGTTGCATTAAATCAAATGTTCTTTAACTCATGAAATCAGTTTCAACAACTCTGAAAGAAATCTGAGCACTGAAAGGGGGGAAAAGAAGTATTATATGGAAAGGACAAGATGAGAAATGAAAGTGCTGAAACATAAATTATTATATTCTCATGGGTTATGCAAACCATCTGGCTTTAAAAGCTAGTAGTAGGAACATGGAGAAAGGTCATTTGAATTAGCAGAGAACTGCAAAACAACTGAAGGTAAGAAAGGAGCAAATGGCAGGCACAGTGAGAGAACAAGTTGTCAAAATACAAAATAGCAGTGGAAGTCATTGAAGCTGTCCCTTGAATGATTTGCATAGCTCCTGTGAATTTACAGTCAAATACTAAGCGGCTTTTAAAAGGAAATTAAAATTCTCATAGCCACTCTGTGCAGAGGATTAGCAAAATAACAACATTTGTTCAAATGCATGTGAACCAGTGTGAAAAATCCAGAGGAAAGGGCATTTGTTCATCAAAGACAGAAAGAAATCCTTGAGTACATAGGGCTAGTAAAGACAAGAGTAAAGTGTCAAAGAAAAAGTGGAGAGTCAGCTGGTACGCAAACACACATTTGGAAATAGCTCAAGTAGCAATTCTCAAAATTAGCAAGTCTAAGGATTGGCATTACATAGCTAGTTTTATTTTATAGTTTAATATTAGGCTGCATCTTGCAAAGATGCACCAACCTGTCTTAAAAGCCCCAGGAACAGACTGATCAAAGTCAGTATTTTAGGTTTAAAGAGATTGGTTAATAACATGGGTAAAAACAGCAACATTTGAGTCTGTGTGTAAATTAGAGGAATAACAGAATCACAGTGTAAATCCCATGACATGTGCAAGTTAGTTGCTGTTTCAAAACCTTTTTCTCAATCCAGAGATTGCTCAGTGCCAAGATTTTATAATGTTCCTATAATAAATTCAGCATCCATGCTTAGGTCTACCAGCCTTGTTTGGTTGCTTTGTTTGTGTTTTTTGTTCTGGTGTTTTCAGTAAGTTTCTGAGCTAACTGCAAGTAATAGTGGCAAAAGAAATTCTGAAGGGTATAAGTGATTAGTGAAAATTGCTAGAAAGACTAGAAAAATGAGACTCCACTGCAGAAGTTAGGGATGGTGTAGGGCTCTAACAAAACTTTAGGACTTGGTAGTTTTGAAAAAGGAATAGAAAAGTATATCTGTAAATTATTTTAGTAAGGACATATTTAAATGTTTTTGGTGAGGGATTCTAAAATAGGAAAGAGACTGAATGGTCGTTAAGAGGATAGAATATCAGCTATTCATTTTTAATGTGTCCGGTGGTGAATGTGAGACTACATGGAAGAATGACATTGGAAATTATAGATCTGTAAATTTCAGCGCAGTGGGTATCATATTAAAGTTTAACTTGTGCTTAATTGCTGAAACTGGGTCTTTATGATATCTGTGTTGGGAAAGGTATGAAAAACATGTTAGGCAAAGTAAAAGAAGAGCTGAGTAATCTATATGCTTTTATATATATGAAAGGTTTACATCCTTATCCGTGGTAACCAGAGCTACACAGGAGTTTTTTGAGGAAATACATTTTTGTTTGAAAATGCTGTAGTCTGACTAAGGCTTTTCATGAGAAACATGCATGTTTTAATCAAACTTTCACTATGAAGGGCCACAGCAAGAGAGAATGATCCCAGAATGGCTCATTGCCTGATGGCCAGGACACCTACTTGGGATGAGAGTTTAAAGGTTCTTTAAAAAGATCTTGATTCAAAGACGTGACCTAACCGTTGGACAACAAGGTCAGTCTCTCTCTCTCCCTCTCTGTCTTTCTATCCCTGTTTCACTGGGCCACAAAATATTTTTATTAAAGACAAGCAGCTCTGCTACAAAAGACAGAGGCAGGCAGAAGCACTTAGGCGTGGAAGAGGCAAGATGAATATGGGAATAATTTTCTTAATTTAATACTGTTTAGAATGAAATAGTAGGAGGAATGAATTAATAAACTGAGAAGGTGAGTTAATGATAGAATTTTGAGAGAGATAAGAATAAAAGGTGCCAAAATTACACAAACAAAAAAATGGGGGGGGGGCAGGCTTAAAAAAGAAGATAAATACATAATTCAGTCAAAGTAGAAACTTGCCAGAGAATAATTCAGGCATAAAAATAGACAAAGGGAAAATACTCTTAATAGTTATATACGTCTAAGTAATTAAGTGATATAAAACATTGTGAACAGGATTAAAGCAACAGATGACAGTTAAAGGGTAAATATATGGAATATAAAATGTAAAGATAGCATTTGATGTTTAATAAGTACACAGTTACTGAGGTCACATTGGTAAACCTCTGCAGGTCTGTTTTCTAATTACAAATGAAGGCAATCAGAATCTGAGAATTAAATATGCAGAAGATCTTAGAAATTGTATATGTGTATTTGTACAGGGTGGCTCACATATTTCATGAAAGTACCACAAAGCTCTTTGTCAGTTTATCCAAGTATAAAGAAGGTCCTGAACAAAAGGTGAGTTTCAGCTATGCGAAATACAGTCTACCTGCATAGACAAAAACCTCTCTTTCAAAAAAAAAGACCATTAGCATTATTTTCTTCATTTTCTGTCTTCCCCTTGCCCCCCTTCCCTACGCTAATCGAGGCTTCTGAACAGGTTAATTGCAGATCATCTGTCCTGTTAATGGGTCCAAAATCCTCAGGGAACAATATCTATCAGGCAGTTTATCTAAGATTCAGTAACCTAGATATCTTGACAT